GTTTTCGCAGTGCTTTTCAGTCTGCTCAAAAAGTATATAAAGCGCTATGTTTCTTCTTCTTCCTCCGAGTTTACTGCAGCGAACAACACGCATGAAAACAACATCGTTCCATGAGCAAGCTGGGTGAACGACCCGTTCACACGAAGGTCCCACTTGCGAAACAACAGAGGTGCACGCACTTGGCTCGGCATTTCGAGCGGTGTGGGCGAGCTTTCGGGGGCCGCCCGAATTCTTCGCGCGGTTTGTACCTATATAGAGGCGGGGGTCATCAGGATCCATTGTCTAATTTAGGCCGCCAAATGAATCGCGAATGTTGCCGCGCCGCCTGCGCCGAAATTCAATTTGGGCGGCTGTCTTTCGTTTGACCGTTCACGCTGCGTCCTCGTTTTATTCTTTCTCTCTCTTTCTCTTTTTTTTTTTGTTTTTCCTTGTTTAGCGCTACTTTCTCGCTCGGTGTTGCAAATTTGAAACGGGCGAGAGAGCGCTTCTGGTACACATATGTATCCATTCCGGTGTGAAGTGCTCTGGGTCACTTACGAAGAGCAGATTTAAAACATAGATTTCAAACTTTTTGTATTGTTTTTATGGCATTTGTTCTTGTCGTTTCAAGGGGTCTTGCTATTAGGGGCCAGTCCCCCCTCCTTAACGAGTTAGTTTTGGTCGGGAGCGCGACTCATCGTCGTTAAATTACGGCGCGCTCTACGGCCTAATTAATTAAGCGTTGGCGCCGGAGAGATTGGGTTCCAATTCTTTCTTTCTCCAAGGGGCCTTCCTCTTTCGCACACTTGTATAAATCTCTCATCGTTTTGCTTTTGGCTCTTTTTGCGCGCTGGTAATAGCCAAACGAACGATGGCCGCGCCGGCTCGGGAGATTTCGAAAGGCTCCTTGATGTGGTTCGCACGATCCCAAACGACCCTGTTAGCCTGGTCGTCGAGGAAGTCAGATTATTCTCCGCCTTCGGTACAAGGTATACATAGCCGCTCTTTCTTTCTCTATTTCTTTCCTCGGTCGGTATTTCTATGGCGTTCATTAAACGAAAGAAAGACCTCAGAAGGAGGAGGGCTAACGTAGAAGGAGAGCTCGGCAAGATAGACCGAGCACAGCCCCGATCTATACGTCTATATAGGCGTGGTCGTCAGTCACACCGGTGATGCCACACTATAAAGCTTCCCCTGCTTCAAATTTCTGGCTGCATTTGGGGGCTGGCTTGCAAACGTTACATTGAGGAATTCTCGCAAAAGGACATTCGCAGCGCACAACTTTGTAGGATGAGAGACGTATCTGAATAAACAAAGAGATTTCCGGCTGTTGAAGTTTCTCCGTAGTCTCGATCAGAGCGCGCGCACAGCTCAAAGTAATTTCGAATGTCACGTTTCTGTAACATTACATAATACTGACGAAGACGGACTGCTGCAGCGCGCAGGTACGTGGTCGCGGGGATGACTTCAGGCACAAACATAAACCTGCGTCACCGATGATTGGACGCGACCTGACTCAGAACGACACGTGACTCAGAAAGCCGTTCGCCGCCTCGTAAACCGCGCAGTAGGAGAACCACTCGTAGCATACTGCCCTCCATATCTACGTATTTGGTAATAGGCATACGAAAGAGGGAGGGTGTGACATGTCAGCGGTGCTACACGATGAACGAAATCGATCGAGAGTAATGGTCCTTCTGCGCTCCGCTCGCTTCCTTATGTGGCGAAAAAAGTATGATTTCAATAGCTCATAGGTATCCACGATACAATACAGCGCGATTCCGATAAGATAAGCGATGAAGACCCAGTGTTTCTAAACCATATGAGATTAAGACATGAGAGGAGCATGACTGCCCTCAAGGGATCAGACCCAAGGTTGTTTCTTTGTCATCAACTCTAGCCTGAATCTCTACGATACCCGTAGAGAAGCGGGTATCGTTCTCAACGATATCCGCAAAGCTCATAGATCGCAGAAATGACCTTAAAGTACTTTAACTCTATTGGAGTGATTCAATAAGTTTTTTAGTCAGAGGCAGTGCGACACTTTTAACTGTGGCGCAATTTTAATACAATTACGTACTTATTATTATTTTTTAAATTTTAGTTCGAATAAACTTTTTTTTTTTGACTGAGAACGAGCTAACCATGCAGTTATGTAGTCCAATTTAAAAATCTAAAATTATATAAAAAAGATATTAACCGCGGCATATTTGATGAAGGAATAAATGACTAAGTAGCTAATGAAAAAGAGTCCATTTCGCTACTATGTAGTAATTGATAACGTAATTTCAAGGAAACCTGGCACGGCATCAAACGAATACTTTTGTTTTCCTAATTTGTATAACTCGACATAAACCCCCCATCCGAAGACGAGAAGCGCCAAGTCAACAGTCGGCAACATAGCCACCTGGTGGTTACTGGAGCTCGTCGCCGGTGCACCCTCCAGCGTGCGTGTTTGAAATTGCCCATGGGAAGTGAAGGTGTTCGAGGTGTCGTCACCTCTCCATAGAGTATGTGCCATTTATAGCACGATCACAATGCCCAATGTACGGTCCTTGCTCGAGAAGGAAATTCTGGGGAAGGGAGGGGTGGAGGGCGGGGAGTTGTTCTTTGCCTGGGGGTGTGTTAGGGGGATGTCTAGGGAGGGGGGTATAAATCACTGTCGGAAATTTCATATTGTGGATTGCGGCGCTTCCAGAGCGTATTAATATAGACCGTTTTATCGTGGGTAGCGCCATTTTGAGAGCGAGAGAGAAAAGGGGCAAGGGCCACCGGCGCTTTCCCCCTTTCTGATTGTGTAGAAAGAGTAAAAGTCCCGGATGAAGAGGCTTGGCCGGTGTTGGGTGTCTGCTGTGCCCCAACATCTTTCGCGTTTTCTTTTCTGTTTTGAACTCGCAAACTTAATTAGAGCCACGGGCTTCGATGGCAACAGTCCCCCGGTCATAGGGTGCACGAATAGCGACAGAAAGCGTCGAATACCGCCCAAGGACCTCGTAGCTTGCATGGAATTCGGCAAGGCACGTGCGGCTGCAATGTTTTGAAGCTCCACCGCTTTCCGCGTGACTGGAAATGATGAACCATTCATAAATTTTTGCTTACAATAGGCTCATCTCAACGCAGCCGTTTTTAGTAATGAACAAGCGATACACAAAACGGGAACCTCAATTAACTTTTGTAAACACCCGGAGCTGCTACATATAGTTTTGCTGCGCTGCTTTTATCTTGCGTGTCCGTGTTCTCATATTTCATTGTGGGTGAAAGACGAAGACGTTCTAGATGTGCTTATATCGAACCGCAGAAAGCGTCAAAGCAGCCACGAATTATTTTACTATTTGATGCAATATTTTGAGTACTAACCTCCAATTTCTATCACTGACACGTTCGCTGCCGCTGTTCCCCCCGTTGCCGCACTGGCGGATGCCATGACTTGAACAAAGAACACACTGGGCTCGAAGACGCAGATCGCAACACACGAGTCGTACCCTGGAGCGACTATCCAGCGCTTCAAAGCGCCCAATCAACGGAAACAACTCAAACAACCCACCCGCGGCACTCCAAGGAGCGCTTTTGTCGGCTCTGGTATCGCACAGGGGATCGCTATTCAGGAAAACCGATAGAAGTACCTTTTCAAAACTTTCTAGCCTCACCCGGCGGCGGAAATAAGCCTTCAACTAAGTACTGTAAATGATGAAATCGAGTCAGTCACCACTGCAAATTATCAATATTAAGATAAATTCAGTTACAAAATTTTACAAGCTGAAACAGCAACTGGCACGCACCTTGCGAGCGCACCCCATGTCCATCGGCGGTACAGCGTTCGGTGCGCGCTCCATTCACAAGCTGTTCCGAGCACAGTCGAGAAGATGGTGTTGAGGAAATGTCTTTTCGGTTTACGAACGCAATCCACTGCCGCCAAGACCGGGGTCATTTGGAAAGCGATGGAGCTTAAAGACATTGCAGCCGCTCTCGCCTTGCCGGATTCATTGCAAGCTACATAGGTCCTCGGACAGTATTCGACGCTTTCTGTCGTTATTCGTGCACCGTATGACCGAGCAATGGTGTCCCGATGACCAGGGAACTGTTGCCATCGAAGCCCGTTACTCTAATTAAGTTTGCGAGTTCAAAACAGAAAAGAAAGCGCGAACAAAGTTGGGGCACAGCAGACACCCAACACCGGCCAAGCCTCTCATCCGGGACCTTCACTCTTTCTACACAATCAGAGAGGGGGAAAGCGCCGGTAGCCCATTCCCCTTTTCTCTCTCGCCCTCTTTCAGTAAAACGGTCTATAGTAGGTAGCATGTACGGTATGCTTGTGTAGAGAAAAAAGTATAGTGTCAATAAGTATGGATCTCAAGTAGCGGGGTCGGATCCCGGTCGAGGTGCCCGCAAATTGACGAATGCTTATAGCGAGCCGGCAGCAGCCAGGCGGCGCCGTCATAGTGAGAGCCCATGGTTATACTTTGTTGCCTTGTAGCTTGGCAAATTGTGAGCGATAAGCCTCACATTGCGTGCCGACGGCTTTGCGTGGTACAAGCGCAACGCACTCATATTGAAGCATGACACAGCGAAAAGCTTGATACTTCTTCGCAGTAAAAACGCACGCTGGTAATACGTAGCCACGTTCCGATTGGCTCGCCAGGGCCGTAGCTTCCGTCGTAATGGCATGTTATGCGATCACGGCTTTCTGGCCTACCCAGTATCGTTTGTTTCAGACACTAGGCTAAGCGGCGACATCAGAGTAATAGCTCACGTATGAACAATGCAGCTGCCATTCCCGGACATAACCAATGTTTCTTGCTCCAGTCGCTAATAGCGCCAAACCAAACAGCATTGCAGGATGCGCCGTGGAACCGAGATTTGGGTTACGTCGAAATTGATGGTAGAAATTAATCCTCAGTCTTCCACTTGGGCGTGCCAGATGCCCTTCGTTGGTTTGCACATATCCCCCCCCCTCCCCCCTAACCCCACTTGCAGAAAAATGTGCATTATGCTCCTCAAAAAGAAATAAAAAAAATTCTTACCGTGACGTGTTTGAGGATTCCTGACGCGCAGCAGGCGAAGTCTGGAAAATAAAGCAAAAAGAACAAGTTCAAGTAACCTTTATAAACATGAATGTTTGGCGCTTCGGTTTCTTGGTCTTACAACGCCAAAATATTTCAAAATACTCCTGTTATTTATTTATTTCTTCATACATATAATAGAGCTGGCTATTGTCAAGTTTCTGAAAAGGCTTTTCAAGCATTTAAATGGCACTCAAAAATTTTTTTTTTTTTTTTAACAAAAAAAAAAAAAATTTTTTTTTTTTGTCCTTTGTTTGACAATTTTACATTTGTTCCTCGGGAAGGTTCTTCGGTGGCGCCAACTCATGTTGCATATTTTTTTGAGCAACGATTTCTACTCGATTGCGGAACATTTTATCGCCAATATAAAAATAAAGGGTTTCGCGATTCCATACTTTCATAAAGCTTTCTTTGAGACTATCTCAGGTCGCGATTTTTACTCTGTTCGCATCGAGCGAGTCACGACTAAAGTAAAGAAATAAATAAATGCTCAGTGCGCGAGCTCACGAAGTGCTACAACGCTCGCTCTATAACTTTGGACGCGCTAACCTTCAGGCCGAGGACTTGCGCCGGTGCGCAGTCCTCACCGCAGAAAGAATTCACGGTCTACACGAGGCACTCCAACGTGCAAGAGGTAGCCGGAAACTCAACGCTCACGAGCAAGAGGCTGCATAATGCGGTCGACTCGACACCCCCAGCCCTAGTTATTAATGGCTTCTTCAGCCACGGCTAACAGACACCTAATGAACACTCTTCGGACAGTAGCCTCGACTTTTAACAGCGTCCATTCTGCTCCGACCATTTGTCAGACGGCGACCACCGCAGAGTCAAGGGCACTGTTAAAACGCACGCAACTTTTGAGTTTCCGCGCTTTGGCCCTCTCTCTCTCGTTTCGGGGTATCCCTTACTCGGGCAGTTATTTATTGAGTAATTCAGCGGAACGTATCCGTCGCAGACGGAGGAGGGTCTCGCGGGTACGCGAAAGATGCAATTCGATGGCCGAAGCCGGAAGAGTTGACAATAAACACCGACGAGGAAATAGCCCTGCACGAGAAACCCGACGTACAAGCGAACGATAAGGAGAGATTGACCTCGAAAATGAATCATGAAGTGTCCCATTCCTCGCTCGAGGTTAGAAGGATGTGCCGCGCACCGCATGCCCGACGCTGCCAACGTCTCTGCACGCGAAGAACAGATTAGGCGCGCTACCTGAGAGCCTAGATTGCAGAGAGGGAGCAACTCATGCCAGGGAAAGAATTTGCTACTGGCGGACGCCTTCTGCGCAGATTGGTTCGCAAGTGCGCGAGCGTGGCGTAGTCGCGTGATAAGGAGGAAAGCGAGCGGACGATCGACGCTTTTGTCATCTCCTCGCAGCTTGGACGTATATACATGGTCCGCTTGCAGCGTGTGTTTGTATGTAGTATATCGTGGTACCTATTGTTCTTGCTGTCGTAGATAGTTGGTTGTCTGACCGTGAACAGACCTTATGGATTCAAATACGGGACACCCGACTAACCTTGTAGTTAAGTATTTAGGAGTCATGCTTATTAATTAAGGTGTTTTCTTTTGGTTAGGAAAGTTTATCTTTCCAGAGTTTCGTCGGCATTGTGTTTTTTTAGCTTTCTACGTTTGGGTCGGTGGGGTCAGAGCGGCCGCGGTGCGGGAACGGTCCCCCCCTGCGGTCGTTAAGAAGCGTCTCGGGTTTCGAGAGTCTGCTCGGACCGGGACCGAAAGAGCTCGCGCTGGAAGATGCTTGTGGCTTATAACCGAATGTGCGTGTATGCAGAGGGTTTTGCCGCTTAGTATAAAATTGTCCTTTTTGCCCGATGCAATAATTTAGCGGTTGGCGCCAGTCAGGCTGGGAAAATAGCAGAGAACAACTCTACAAGGAGTTTGGGTTTGGCGGTTAGGACGCCAAAATGACAGCTCGCCGACCATTGGAGAGCAGTGTACCACGTGTGAGTGACGGAATTTGAAGATATTGGTCGGTTCCTGAGGGGAAAGGAGGCCCCTACCGGCCTACAAAAGGAGCGCGGAGAGGATTTTGAAAGATTCGGACTTTGGATGAGAGAAATTGGGGACGGGAGTCGAGACTTTAGACGAGGCAGGATGGTTTCCCAAGTTGGGACTTGTAACTAGAGTGTAAATAAATGCACATAGTTCTATTCAAGCAGTGAGTCGACCCGTCACTCAGCGACGTTCGTGCCACCACGCTCCAGACCATCGAAGCGGAACCTGCCTCCCACACCCACCCGGAGGACTTTAACTCTTGTGTAGGAAACGAATTTGCGCATCATTTGATCCTCCGTTTTTTCATGAAACCACGGGCGTCTTTTTTTCTTTTTTTGATGGATGGATTTGTGTGACGGTTGCCGTTCCACGTGATTGCCCGAATGCTTCTGTTGTCATCACGTGGTGTTATTATCTCTCTCCCTCTCTCTTTCTTCCTCGCTCTTTTCGAGTCTTCTTCTCACGACCTGTCGAACTTAATGCTTGTTTTTGCACATTTAACTGACGTAGGTTAGTCAGCCAGGTCGTCATGCCGACAAAATGATTTCTCAGGGGGGGACATTACGAGAAATGACTACCACCAAGGCGCCCACAATGTGTACAGAACGACGGCCGTCAAAACGTCGTGACATAAAACGATCGCCCTTAGATACCAGGTTAGTTAAAAACTTGTGTACGTTATTCTCTATGTTCACAACCGCGTTCACGATGAATGAATAAATAGACGAATTAAACAGTGGTTACATCCAACAGTATCGCTTTAATCTTGCGAACGGCGCCGGGATGTTGTAAAAATTGTAAAGCAAAATATCAGATGCCGAATAAAAAAATAAGGAAATCTAAAGTTTCCCAGAGTACTGTCTAATATCTATAAAAGGTCGAATAAACAGTAAAAAAGGACAAATGGAATATTGTTTTTTTTGGTCTGAAGTGTGGTTATTCTTTTTAATCCTAGTCGTGGCAAGCAAAGCAAAGACAGTGAACCTGTAAGCGTAAAACACTTATAAATATACAAATGAGAGAAACTGGGCAGTCCAATGACCCACGATGCAGAACGGGCACGTATATTCTCCGGCGAGTGCAAAGTGAAGAGAACAAAACTCTCCAGCGGTAGAGACTGCCACAAGAGCCTGCCACCTCCCAGTCCGTTCTTCCCCCTTCTCAGCTGCACCGCGTCCAAACTTCACTTCCAAAAGCCTGCCTGCTTTTGGACGGCCTTTCTTCCTACGCCGTTCCGCGTCCTGTGGCGGCCTGGCCGCAGCTTCCCGACGCGCCGCGAGTGCGCCAACGTGCGTGCGCGAAGGCATACATGCACCGCGCTGGTGAGCGGGTGCGTTTTTACGGCCCCGTGTTTGCGTATCTGCCGCGCTGCATGCGGCTACCGCCGGGCGGCGGCGGTATTGATGGAATGAGCAGCCCTCAAAGTTCAGCAACCCTCTAACGACCCACTGTCCCGCGCCGCATTGAACCTTCCTATTTCCTCGTCCGTCCCTTCGCCCCCTTCAACATTTATTGCATTTTCGACCGCGGGCACTTTTCAATGCACGCCGTCTAGCTGCCTCAGCGGGAATAAAGACAGGGTCATTCGTCATGACCGAAATTCGGGGGGGGGGGGGGGGGGGGGGGGGGGGGGGGGGGCTCGGAAAACTCTTTTTGAATAGGAAAGCCGGATTAAGTGGCGAACGAACAATCGTAACGCAGCGACCGAAGTGAGAAATGACGAAAGCCGGTGGTCGCCAGAAGAATATAACGAGAGCCGCGTAATATATAAAGCGGTTTTCACGTTGTCGCCGTTCGTGTTTTGGCTATCCAGACAGGAATCATCGGCTAATCGTGTGTCTGACCTTAAGGAGAACAAAACGAAATATCACCTAGGCCTGAAACCAAGCGGCCTCAAATCGTAATTAATAAAAACAAACAAATAAAAAAAAATGAGCAAAACCGGGCGTTTTTTTATTGTTTTCAATCGACCGCCAAGCGTGTTGTGGTAAAAGGTTGAACTGGGCTTTGTTTTACAGTAACACTCGGAAATACCTTGGAAACCTCTCGAAATGTGCGAGATTCCGCGCGGTAGAAGCAGCTTTCGAGCACCGGAGATAGCGCTCGAAGCCCTATCTGTGTTCCATATCAATGGTGAAGATGCATGCTCGCCTTGGCCATTCTGTGTCAGTATCAGGGTGTAAGATAGACAGGTGGGGAAACGAGAGCCAAATGAGCGACCGGATTGTGTCCCCCTCGGGTTTCTCTTTTTCTGTGGCGCCATCTACAGGGGAGCACCGCGAACTCTCACTCCGGATAGGCGACCGGTGGCGACCGGCTAAACTGACGGAGATGATTTCTCGTGAATTTTCAATGAAGGAATGTCTTACACTCGGTTTATTTTGCGCACTCTCCCATAAAGTTCCATGCAAATTCGATTCCAATTTTTTTCCTCTCGCCGGAGCGCCATCTGTCGCAAATCGGGGGAACCCGGAAGCAGACGAGTACACAATCCGGTCCCGGCGCTCCGGTAGGGTTCTATGGGCCGTTTCCCCACCTGTCTATCTTACACCCTGGTCAGTATGAGAGAATCACCACACGGCCATAGCGAGCAACCGGCGAACAAAAGCGCATGTCCAGACTGTTCGCGGGGAGGAGCTAGCAAGACCAATGAGAGTCAGACGAGAGCCATCGGGGCCAATCCAATGCCCCGCGTGTGTCACGTGACCTCTTGGGAGTGGCGCAACGACGTGCCGGGAGCAAAGTCACGTGACACGCTTACAGCGCTCGACTGGTTGTCACAGCTCGTAGCGTTCGCTGCGGCCTAACGTAAGGCTAAACGGAGTAGATTTATCCGATTCACTGGTTACGCCGCAACGGCGCGTTCGTCAAGGATCTTGTTGTCAGGGTAAGCGACATGAAAGAACATTTATGACGTGTTCTTTCTAAGCGACGTGAGGATGTACGTTCACGAAGAGAAGGGCTGCACAGAACGACCATTGCGATCGTTAAC